TAATTGCCCTATGGTGTACAATATTCTTTAAAGCTTTATTTATTTCTCCTCAGTTTCGAAAATAAACCTATAAATATGCCACATGAAGCGCTAGAAATAAAATTACATTTTTGAATCTTTGCACATTTGCGCTCCTCCAATAACAATGAAGCGCTAGAAATAATTCATGAACTTAATAATTCATTTTTTTCAAGTGGCCTCCATGAGACCTATTTTTCTAAATTTTTTGTTCTTTCTATGTATGTTACTTACTTGTTACTTGTAGGTTGATCTGCAGAGGGCCTCTTGGTCCATAGCGCAGATATCAGTTTTGTCCTCGCGGAACAGTGTTAGCATCAGTCCATACATCTCGAAAATCAGCTTCCCAAACACTGATCCTGATTGCAATTATTTAGAATTTCAGCGGTTCTAATTTGTTTTTGAAGATTTTTAACGTCCTTGAGTCTTTTATGTCTGTCGGTAGGTTATTCCATAGGTTGACAACTCTATTTGAAAAGAAATTTTTCCTGATATCTGTCCTTGAACGTACGGCAACCAAATTCTTACTGTAGGACGTGATTCTTGTGAGTCTATTGTTTTGCTCTACAGTTTTGAACCAAATATCTGGGTTTACTCGATCGATGCCATTTATGATCTTGTATGTCTGCACTAGGTCAAACTTTTTCCTGCGGTCAGAGAGTGAGGTCAAATTCAGTTCGGAAAGTTTGTCCTCGTATGTCCTACTGTTCAATCCTACAATCATATTCACTGCCCTGCGTTGGACCTTCTCTAAAACTTCAATGTCTTGGGCTAGCCATGGGGACCAGGCGGGGACTGCAAATTCCAGATGGCATCTTACAAACTGCTTGTATAGGTTAAGAAACGTTTTTCTGTCTCTGTACATAAAAGCTCTGGAGATTTGTGTCAAGATAGCAGATGCCCTAATTGCGGCTTGAGTACAATGTTGTGAGGGTTTCAAATTACTGCTTATGAGAACTCCAATATCGCGTTCAGTTTCAACTGCTTGTAGATTAGTACCATTCATATTATAGACATGTTTATCATTATTCCTGCCCAAATGAAGTACTTTGCATTTTGCAGTGTTAAATGACATGCACCATGTATCAGCCCAAACCAACAGTTCGTCAATGGTTTTCTGAAGATGTTCAATATCTGCGTGGTTCCTGGCTACATTCCCTAATTTGGTATCGTCAGCAAACTTCAACATAATCGATATATTATTGGTGCAATTATCAATGTCATTTATAAATATTACGAACAGTAATGGGCCAAGCACTGATCCTTGTGGGACACCACTTATGACACTGCTCCAGTTTGAACAAGTGCCATTTAGGACTGTTCTCTGTTTTCTGTTCGTGAGCCAGGCCTCAATCCAATTAAGTAACCTGTCTTTAATTCCGAGAGATTTCATCTTTGCAAGTAGACGTTTATGAGGTACTTTATCAAATGCTTTACTAAAATCCAAATATATAATATCTACTGGGATGCTGTTGTCAAATAAATCTGTCATCCTTTCCATAAATTGAAGAAGATTGGTGGTGCAAGATTTGTTTGGCAGAAACCCATGTTGGGTGTTATTAAGCAAATTTTGGCGGAGCAGAAAGTCCAGTATTTCGTCTTTCATTACAGACTCCATTAGTTTGCAGGGTATAGAGGTCAGGGACACTGGACGATAATTGCCGGGACTATTCTTAGAACCTTTTTGAAAATAGGCGTGACATTTGCATCCCGCCAATCCTGAGGGACCACTCCAGATTCCAGTGATTTTGTGTAGATAATAGAGAGAGGGACTATCAGACTATCAACATGGTTTTGTAGAAACCGAGATGAGATCTTGTCAGGACCTGAGCTGGAACTGGTTTTTAAATTCAGAATCTTTCTTTTTATTGTTTCCGGATCAAAATAAACATCTGAGACACTATACTGTGGTGACACTGTGGGACAGACGGGAATATTCGAGAGATCTTCGACTGTAAAAACCCCGCTAAAAGTGTCATTCAGGATAGACGCCATGCCTTGATTATCACTAACTATCTCGTTACCGACTTTTAGAGGACCAATATTAACCCTTGAGGCTGTTTTACTTTTAATATATGAATTAAAGGGTCTCTTGTTACCATTTTTTGCAATATTCTGTTCAAACCGTCTTTTAGCCGACCTAACTGCTTTTTTACAGGCCTTTTCTGTTTTCTTATATTGGTCGTAGTTCTGTCGAGTCCTATCCGCTTGATATGTATTGTAGTGTCTTTGTTTCTGCCTAACAATACGTTTAACCTGTTTTGTCATCCACTGGTGATTATTGGATTTGCGTCTTCTTATTTTAGGTATAAAACGATCTATACCTGTAGAAATTTTATTCTTAAAGAAATCCCAGCCCTCCTCGGTATCCCTTCCATCCAGAGCTTCATACCAATTAACCATTTGTAGGAAATTTTTTAGACCTTCAACATCTCCATTTTTCCAATCTTCAATAAGTTCAGTTGATGAGTTAAATTTCGAATTATATATCACGTCGATAGATAAAATTGAGTGGTCGCTGTTCGACAGATTACCTAGTGATTCTATATTTATAATGTTTTCCGGGCGATTTGTAAATATTAAATCCAATACATTCCCCCTTACATGTGTTGGAAACGTAACTAATTGTTCGAAATTATTATCTAGGGTGCACTGTAGGAAATTTTCACAATTTCTGTCCGATGTTAATTCATCCCAATTTATCGTTGGAAAGTTAAAATCGCCAATTAGAATACTATTATCCCCTGAATTTCTAAAAAGTTTGCACAATTCATGTTTTCCGTTCTCGAGCGCGGAGGCCGGTATACCAATGTTATGGTAAGATTTGGTTTGGTTTCAAATCTACCATCGTCTTTGCTTTCACTACGTAACACTTCAAATCTTCTGAACATATTAAAATCATTATCAATTGGTACTGGTTTTACAACTAAATTCTCTTTTGCATAAACCAATAAACCTCCTCCGATTCCGTTCATGGTATCGGTTCTATCAAGTCTTAATTCAGGTTCAATAAAATATCCTGTAACATTTAGCATAGNTATACTTTGCTTGTCTGTCTGTTTGTTAGTTAGTTCAGGCCCACATTTTTTGTGGGACCTCGCGTGACCCCAGGGAGTTGTAAGAATGATCAAATTTTCAAAAATTTGCCTCTAACTAAATTTGATCTTTGAATATTTTGAAAATCCTCGAAATTTTTGAAATTTTTTTTGCTTGTTTTTGTTATACAATGTTTAACAAGAGAACATGTTAACAATTCAAATATAAAATCTTAGTTGTCAAAATGCGTGGAATTGGAATTTTCATAATAAGCAAAATGAGCCCGGCTGAATAGTTTTCTTTATTGGCACAAAAACTGATGATTCAAGAAGTATTTGTTTTTTTTTATCTAATACTAAAATAAGTCCGCTATTCAATATAAAACTATCTATCTTACTATACATCTTTCTTGCTTTCTATTTATATTTCTATCTAGCTATTCATCAATCTATCTGTTTGCCAATGTATGTACTTTGTATATATGTATGAATACATGTCTGTGTGTCGATCTGTCTATCTATCTATCTATCTATTTTGTTAATCTTTGGTCGAGTTAAAGCAAGATCTGAGAGCGTTAGATTTAGAAGAATTGTATCTATCTATCTATCTATCTATCTATCTATCTATCTATCTATCTATCTATCTATCTATCTATCTATCTATCTATCTATCTATCTATCTATCTATCTATCTATCTATCTATCTATCTATCTATCTATCTATCTATCTATCTATCTATCTATCTATCTATCTATCTATCTATCTATCTATCTATCTATCTATCTATCTATCTATCTATCTATCTATCTATCTATCTATCTATCTATCTATCTATCTATCTATCTATCTATCTATCTATCTATCTATCTATCTATCTATCTATCTATCTATCTATCTATCTATCTATCTATCTATCTATCTATCTATCTATCTATCTATCTATCTATCTATCTATCTATCTATCTATCTATCTATCTATCTATCTATCTATCNAAAGTTAGCTACAGTTTTGTATAAAAAGGAAACAGAAAAAGATGTAGCACAGAAAAACAGGAAAGAAGGAAGCTATGTAAAGTTTAAAATAATGATGGAGAAAGCAGGAACAAATGATCTTGTTGAACAGGAGAACAGGAGGGATGAGAGAAAACAGGATGATGAGAGCAGGACCCTGGATCCTGGTCTTATTGAGAAACTAAAAAGCGAGCTAAGTGTACCACTTCAAAAAACAAGGTATTTAATGAGACAGTGTAGAATGTAGAGGTAAATTCAAGTGATCCTATATAATGATGGGAAAGTTCGATTCACAACGCTTTTAAAAGCTTTTTCTGATCAAGAAGGAATGAGATATCTATTGTTTTCTTTTTGTAAATTGATAGTGTAAGCATTATACACTAGCTAAAAAAATTACGTTATTGATAAAGATAAGGGCTTAAAGGACAGCTTTGCAAATAATGAAATAATTAATAGAGTCAGATTGATTGATTTATTTATTTATTGATCTGTAAAAAGATTTATTTATTTTATCATTTATGTATTTATTGATGAATTGATTAGATCAAAGGCTACTGCAGAAGATGGGGTATCTAAGTTGGCACTAGAACAATTGATTCAGGTAAGATTTTTTGAAATGGATGATTTCATTAATTTATTGATTAATAAATTAATTAATTGAAAAATTTGATTGATTGATAATTGATTTATTGATTGTTGACGCTAGTGTATTTTGAAATTTAGGCTGGGTCTGCGAGAGTAGGTTATGAAAGATCTGTAACTCATTCAACTGTTTGGACAAGGTTTTATAAGATTCTCCTCGACGAGGTTGAGGTAAATTGACCGCCATTTTGTTTGTCCAACGCAGTCATGTTAAAAGTAGAACGCTGCCATTTTTAAATTGTTAAGCGCATTTTTGTTTTGTTGCTTAGTTCCGGATCCATTTTTAAAGGACTGAGAATTTTTGATTCGCACCAATGTATCCTTATTAATGCTTTTTGTTGTTGTTGAGATTGTACCTTTTAAAGGGGTGGAGTGAGCGTAATTTTAATTGAAAGATGACAATGCCTGATTTTTAACGCTACACTTGAAACCTTAATGTGATCAGAAATGTGGAATATAACGTCATTTTGTTGAGACAGAAAATAGTTTTTTTTTGCTGTGAATTTCTCCATTGCTTCTTATTTGCAAGAAATGCGCAAGTCACTTTTGCTGAGAAACCGCAAATGAAAATGAACAGTTTGAAAATACAATTTTTTTCAAACTTAATCAGACAAATCTTTTAAAGGTACCCTTGTTAATCGGGCATTGCCATCTTTGCATTGAGGGTGACTTGAAGTTATGCCTACAGCCCCTTTAAAAACTAAAAAAGTTTCTGTAGTAGTGTATGCATGGAATCAATTTAAGTTGATTGCGATTCCAACTCCTGAAACTGTTCTGTAAAAAATGTATCCGAATTAAGTTCATGATCATCTTAACTTCTAATTTCTTTAACCTAACATAAATTGCCAGAATTTTCTTCTTTTTTTCGCAAATTTTGATTTACCAATTAATGATTAGGAAAGTTGTTCATTAGTGGACACTTTTTCGATATCTTGGTTGATTTTTTACCATTTGAATCATAACTGTTGATTAACATATTGTGCTAAAATGCTTATTGCATTGTATCCTGTATATATATATAGATACCCTTTGTATCCTGTATTATAGATACCATTTGTATCCTGTATCCAGTGTGGGAAAATCTACACCCATGACCGTTCCCTGGGGACAAGCAGCTTACTCAGGTACAAAAATGAAATTCTGTGCGCTTGGCGCCTCTACGTTTATAAGTTTTTATGCAATTTGGATAACTTAAACGGGGGGGGGGGGAGTGAAGAAGTCATAAATTGGTAATCACAGCCACCTAAATGTGTTTTGCGGTATGCGCGCCCCTCATTTGGTAATCTCCACCTCATCAATTGGTAATCAGACAAAATAGGGTATTATTAAATCGTTTATTTCTTAGAAATAAGACCATACTGACTTATGAAAATGGCCCTATGGTGTACAATATTCTTAAAGCTTTCTTTATTGCTCCTCAGTTTCGAAAATAAACCTATAAATATGCCACATGACGCGCTTGAAATAAAATTACATTTTTGAATCTTTGCACATTTGCGCTCCTCCAATAACAATGAAGCGCTAGAAATAATTCATGAACTTAATAATTCATTTTTAACAAGTGGCCTCGATGAGACCTATTTTCCTAAATTTTTTGTTCTTTCTATGTATGTAATTAGTTTTGTTGTAGATGTTGAACTCGACTAGGCAAATACAAAAATCTAAACACTGTAAAAGTTTTTTTTAAAATATCTTCAAAATGAATATAGATATTACTTTCAGATAATTTTTACATAACAGGCAGCCCGCCCTTTTAGTATCTTAACTCCAATCATGAAATGCAGTCATTAAATTGGCGAATTAGATCTAAGATTCGGCTTTTATAAACTATGCTATGTTTCTCAGTTTTTGAAATTTAGTTTAAGCCAATACACATGGCGTGAAACCCCGATTGATGTCGAAAACTGTGCTAAAAAAGATTTTACGGTGATTACCAATTGAGATGGTGGAGAAAACCAATTGAGGAGCGCGCATGCCGCAAAATACGTTTGGTTGGCTGTGATTACCAATTGAAGACTTCTGCACTCCCCCCTCCTGAAACATTACTTTCAATCCTAAAACAATTTTTTAGCACATGATTTGAAATGATTGATTTTCCTTTTTCAAGAGTTTATACAGGGTTACCTATAAAGGAGGAGACTCTAAAGTCGACTGTAAGGAACTGTTTCAGTCTTTTTCATTGCTTTTATATC